GCCAGGGAAGTGCTTATTCTACTGAGCCATCTCCCTCGCCCCTTTAGTCTCTTTTTGTTGGTTTTAAGTTATGCAAGGTTTTAGCCAGGCTGCCGCCGGTAGTGAGGATTTTCATAGGATTTGGGGGAAGCACAGCACACTGTGGTGGGAAGAGAGAAGAAAATGGGTCAGATTCTGATCCAGCTGCGATTCCTGTGTGGAGTAAACAAGAAAGCAAATGGGACAGCGCTGACTCTAGAGAGTCCACATCTTGGTCCACGTGGCTGTCCAATGGGGCGAGCGGCAAACTCCAGCGGAGCAGAGCGTAGTCTACAAGGAGAGAGCCGCACGCTTCAGTGTGTTTACATTATACTCCTCCTATGGACTTAAAGGGGAACAGACGGGCCAGGAGAGGTCCTGCTCCTGTGACAACGTGAATTCCCCTGAGAGCAAGACACTGACTGGAAGGTGCACAGCAACTCCAGATCCACCAACAAGCACGGCTGCCTGCACTCCGCAGCCTCCTAGCACAGACACTCCACCAGGGCCGTCTGCGTGGTGCCCTCAGCGTGCCCCCCAGACACCTGCAGCAGTGCTCAGACCTCACCCTGAGGCTGTCTTTAGGTGCAGGAGGCTGAGCAAGGGCACTGTTTCTGTGCTGTGTATAATTTCACTAGTGAGCGAGTATTTATAGCAGACGTGATTGAATGTGCGCTTCAACCTGATTGTCTGCGAAGACTCCAGGTAGCCTCACTCAGGTTTAAAGTTATTTCTTTCAGAATATTTTAATTGTTATTAGTGCCTGCATGCAGTACATAGCGATCCCTTTCTCTGTGAGGAGTTGGGACATGTATGTGACACCTCTTGATGATTCGTGCTTCCCTCTTCTTCCATCCCCTCCCTCCAGGTTTTGGTCCACTGCCCATCTTTAAATGATTTTCCTTCCTGTCTCCTATTGTCTATCTTTTATTTTGTCCTTTAAATTATTTACACTATGGGTTTCTCAGGAACCAGGCGGGTCTCATTTCATTATTCATAAATAAAAATGTCAATATTTAAGATTGTGGGTCTCATTTCATTAAATTCTGGCCTCATGGCTTGTACTTGGAGTAACTACTGTGAAGATAATGATTTATGGTGGATTAGCTATTGTTATTGTCCTTTTATTTTGTTCTGAAATTTTGTCTTATATAAAATAAACAGTGAAATTAATTATAGTCTCAAGTTACATTCATTTTCCTAAACATATAACCCAAATTTATTCTCTGTGACAGAGCAGTTCTCCATTGTGAATAATGCCACATGCTCTTTATCTAGTCATCTGTTGATGGACATGCAGGCTGCTGTTGGGATTCAGCTATCCTAAGTTGTGCTGCTATAAACA